TGGCGGCGCTGCAGGCCGCGCTGGCCGAGGCCACCGACCCCCAGCAGCGCGTGGCGGTGGTGGCGCAGGGCCAGCCGCTCTCCGGCGTCGTCGGCTTCTTCAACTGCCTGCGCTTGGAGCCTGGGCCCGGACGCCTCAACCTCAGGTGCAGACACGCTCCTCAACTCTACACTTAGACGTCGCTTTCACGCTTCATTTGACGGATTCGGAGTTTTAGCGTACTCGCCCATGTCACTACCGCTCTAGTAGTCGCCCGGCGTGCGTTTGATAAACTCAGGAATCGTTCGTCAAAAGGAAGCTTGTAAAGCGGGTCTTAGATATAGAGAAGATACTACTAGTGTTATACAGGTCGGAAAACAAATGAGCATTATGTCGGACTCTTGCAATGCTTGCTGTCTTGCCACGATTCGCGTAGACCAGTATAATCTTGGTCACTTTGCACCTCGATACACAAAATATTGCGTTTTTTTATTATAGATGAGCTAGACAGTTCTAGATAAACTCACACCAACAGTGTTTACTTAAGGCTTATGGTCCTCAGGTGCTACTTCCTCCCGGACGAGGGCTCTGAGCCTTTCTCTGCAGACGCCCCCGTCTTCCGTCGTCGACTGGAGCTGGACCTGGTGATGAACGTCCTCGAGGGTGGGCGTTGGGGTAGTTTCCGGCACACGCCCATTCCTAGGGCTCGATGCGTGACGCAGGCTACGCACGCTTACAACGACCAAATTACACCAGGGGACTTGTCAAGCTTCGCGTGGTTCAAAGGGCCTTTCGACCCGGTGAAGTACGTATCTGGTCGTTTTTGAACGTATGTCAATACAAATGTATTCTACTCAGTTGTTCTTGTTTTCATCTAGCCCACTGTTACCAGAAGGCCATACGCTTATGCATGTCTATTATTCGTCGTTCAACTTTAAGGATATCATGATAGCTTCAGGAAAACTGAACACCAGCACACTTCCACATGTACCTGGTCGAGTAAGTTTTTAATATTGCCAGTCACAAATGCATGTTTTTCGTAATATACATTAGTTATTATGTGTTACTTACGTGGTTTTGTCGACCAGAATGGTCGAGCTATTTAGAGAGTGAACACTATTTGTATGTTTCGTAAAGAACCATGGATTGCGTCGTCCCTAGAATTCAGGAGTTGGTAAATGTTTTAATGTCCTATTTGACCCGAAAAACAATTCTCTAGGGGATCTTATTGGATACGCAAGAACCGCGGGAGATGAAGCTTTCAAAGTCTCTGATACATAGTCTGGATAACTATGATGTAATACATTTGTACAGATTAAATTTAGCTACTACTTAAATACCAATAATAGAGGTATTTTAGCTTTGAGTTTCAAAAAACAAATTCAAGAATTTGAACAAAATATGACGTGCATTAACATCATATTCAAATGGTAGACTCATCAAGGGACAGCTACACTAAGATTAAGTGCGTTCGCTCTACAGTGCTACATATACGCACAGTGTCAATGTGAGATATGCCATTCAACATAGTCCAGTATATTTACCACATTAGTGAGATCAGCTCAAGTGATCATATGAGATGTTGATTGCCGGTCCTGGCGAACTTTCCTCACGCGGTAAAGAGAAAAGATTTTACAACAAATGGACCACAAATCCAACCACAAACTCATTTCCTAATAAGACAAACGTTTCCGTCGCACAACATATCTTAAATCAAGAAAACCAATATGGATGGTGCCGTCCTCTCAGTTTAACGTTGACAATGAATGACAACGTAAGTGAATAAATCGCTATACGAGG